TTGTTTTTTTTATAATGCGGCCGGACAGATTCTAGATATATAGCACATGCCGTTTTTTAAATTTTGATCTACTTGCCTTCCATTTGAGAGCCAAGTCGGTCATCTAATTTATGTATTAGATTTCACCATTTAGATTGTTATGTATTCACCTGATTTACTCGATACGATGTTGCTACACTTGTTTTTTTCCTTAATCATAGTATTGGAGCCTTTAGTATTTCTTTGCGGTAGATGCATTATGTTGCTTGTCTTTTACCCTATTTCTGCACTGGAGATCTTTATGATATACTTTTTGCATTTATATGTAAATTTTCTCTTTAAGGTAGTTCACTCGCGACAGTCGTACACAAAAATATCGCCCTATAGTGAATACCAATTGTTCGAGATTCTTAAATATAAAGAAAGGTTATTTTTGTAACATACTGTACACACAACACATGTGATCCTATATACAAATATGTTATTATATCGCGTAAAATCCATCCGGCAACGTCGCAAATATATTGTGAAACGTCAACTGTATTCCTAAAGTAAAATAAATGTAAATATCAAAATGTTTCATTGTCAGGATCAATTAATTGCGAGATAAAGAAAAATTTGTTAAGCAGAACGTCCTCAACAAACGCAAAAAATCAATTTTGGCTATGAATAATGCCAAAAAATTGAGAAAGGAAACCCCAAACGTGGAAAATAACCTGTACAGTGGTCGACGCATCGTGGAATTACAGGAGTTGGGAAAACATTTAAAATGTTGGAAGTGTGAAAGAGTTCTTTCTCTTGAAAATATTACAAATGAAAGACGAAAGGGCCATTATTCAATTTTAAATGTTAAATGTAATGAATGTAATATTGAAACTATAGTAGGTACCTACGGACAAAGTTCATGCAACAAAAAGTGAAGTTAAGCATTTATATGTCAACACTAAAGCAGTTCTAGGTAAATTTTAAAAAAAATACATAAGTATTTGTTATGTTTATAATTTTTTTATTATAATTAAAATATTTTTATTTATTTAAAGGTGCTGTCCATTCAGGGTTTGGTCAAACTGCTTTAAATAAATTTCTTGCTGTCATGAACGTTCCTACGATATCATCAATACTACAGAAAATCATTACTTTTATTTGTATTTTTTTATGACTTCCTCATACTAGTAAGTTAAAATTTTAAATTACTTTATAGCCATTTTTTTTGTGTAACCGTATTTTATTTTGAAGGCATGTTTAAATAAAATTATATTCATCTTTTGCATATTTATTTAATTTTGAAGACATTTTTAAATACAATTAAATTTAAATTGTTAAATCAAATCAACCTAAAGTATAAACAATGTCCCTTCCCAGAAGGCCTAGATAAAGTGATAAACTTGACCTGTCCGCGGCAATAAAAAGGTTGGGAAGCACTGATCTAACAGACATTTGAATTAGCGGGCATTGAGTGTTTCGATTACAACGTTGCCAAGTTGTAATCACAATACGCCACTATGCGTCGACTGCTTTAAGAACATTTTTGTTTTAAAAATCTATATTTCTTTATTAAAACGGTAAAAAAATTCAGAGTTTTTTAGAAAATTTTATAACTTCTTGATTTACATTACATTAGTTTTTAAAAAATATGGTAAGAACCGTTTTCGAGATAACTTGAAATAAATGCAATGATTGTGTACATGACAGGGCTTCAAGAGTGTTAATTATGCACATTTTGATTGTTAATATCTCGTTTTACAGAAAGGCCAAAAATGGTTAAAATATCATCTACCTACAACATTGGTCCCCATTTTTCATTAGATGTCTCGCGATATTTATTATGACAGTTTGGAGGGTTGAGTAGCTAAAATGATATCTGTGCTCTAGCTTTTTAGTGTATTGTTTTACACTCTATTATTTGATTTGCATTATTTGGCTTCTTAACTTCACCAATAACATGACCCCAATGGTCGTTCCTTATTAGGATCTATCTGGATTATTCAGATAACAAAATTATCTTTGGACAGTTTCTTTATCTTTGGACAGTTTCTTCCTTTGGTTAAAATTTGATGGCATAATTATTTCTGGAATAACCTATTTTGGGATCCGTTCTGTAAAATTTGATTAAACTTAATTTTGTATTTTGTATTATTTGATTATAAATTATAACTTATATCAGTAATAAATAAATAAATACTTTTAGTCCTCGCCATATCCATTTTAACTACAAACTTAAATTGATGGAATATCGAATAGTACTCCAGTAATTACGTGCTGTATAATATTACCTTTAGATGGAAAATTTGCGGAAGTTTTGATATTTGGCGATTTGATTTATTTTTAACTACTCTTTTCAATTTTTTATTTTGCCACCTCGTAATTTTGCCACCTCGTAATTTTGCCGCCGTCACCGCCATATTGTTATAAATTGTAAAAAAATAAGTTTTTTCAAGATATCTTGTTACTTGTTGCTTTTACAGCAAAAATGACTCCAGTACTTATTGACATAAGTTATTTTATTGCAGAAAAGGCGAATGTTAAAAAACCAATTCATTAATTTTTTTTACGTCATTATTATCACGATTAATCCGGAAACTTCTCAATTTTACATACATTTCCGAAGTGCTAAACTCTATATTGCAAAAATTTTCAACCGCGTCACAAATATTGTGCAAGAATGACATTCTCATAGTCCACCAAGAAAGTACGCTCTCCTAGAAGCTTACGAGTTAGTCCACCTACCGTTTTCATCGTTTGCATAAATGATTTTTCAATACCATTATCTGACTATGTGCCACACCAAAATTGGTCAGAACATTTAATTGTGAAGCGCCCTCCATCTGTAAAAGACCTGAATTCTGTAGGATTAATTTCTTTTAATGCATATCCTGTAAATATAAATGACCACATTTAGCGTACAAAAAATGACCAGTGGCATGAAAATAGAGCAACATTTGCTGCATACTATTAAGATGAAGGTCCCAGTTTTCGCTTCTTTCGGCCTCAATAAATTCTTTTATAACTGATACCATGCGAAAGTAAGAAACCCATAATTTAGCAGTTGGACCACGTTGCTAGATGATTTTCAAATTTTGAAGCTAATTCTTTGACACATTTTTCTTGGTCTGCTCCAAGTATTACGGACTTGTCGAAATCGAATAGAATTGCTTCTAGTCCTGCGTGTTGGTTTAGTGATAAATAATTTTCCTACATGATCATTATGATCAAGCTTTCAAGATGGACACATGTGCTCTGCACGGAGGAGAGTATGCATGACCTGCGTTGGGATTTCCATATATTTCTTTATTTGATTCGTTACATGTTGAGTTCGCACATAAGAATCCCTTTCCAGATAACATCTTTTCAAGTGAGTTCGGTGCAAAAATTGTACTAATTGTAATTAATGAAAGGCAAACAAGCTATAAAAGATTTCTGATATGAATGGTTTACTATCACTTCTTCCATAAATCCATTCCATCCAGGTATATTGGGCAAATCAGCCCAGCATATCTGAAGTTGCCCACATTATTGTATTTGCGACTGACGGCATTTTTGTGAGACGAGGAATAGTCTAATCAGAAGCAATGATACTTGCGGGCGTTATACAATGGGTGCCTCCCATGGCATAAAAAGTGTTTTTGCCATCCGGGGTTTGAGTACTAAAGTCCGCAATGTCGAAAACGAACTGTGAAAAGACAGTCCCGTCAATACCCAAAGGAGGGCGCATCAAAGCCGAAACTTCAAAAAGTGTTGCTTCCGTGTACGAGGAACAAAATCTTAGTAAAGCCAAGGTGTCAATCAGCATACGAGATCCGTATCCAACTTTTAAATTCGCACGGTAGACTCAATGAATAAAATTCGTATTATGTTGCGTACTTGCTCAACTTTTTGTAATTATTCTCGTACAAGAAAACGGTTGGTTTTATGAAAAAAATGATAGGGACCAATTTGGTAGAGAAAAATATGTAGTTTGATTTACTACATAATCATTTGTATAACTTGAAAAATTTCTTTTTTTACAATTTATTGCATTATGGCGGCGACAGCGGCAAAGATTCGAGGTGGCAAAATAAAAAATCGGAAAAAGCAGCTCAAAATACGTAGAATCACAAAATATCGAAACTTTCGCAAATTTTTCCAGGTAAATTTACGTAGTTACCGGACTAAAGAGAGTTGGGTTACAATTTAAACGCCATAGTTATAAATAACCTTTAAACCTGGCAGTTAAAATTAATTAAAACGTTACAGAATAGACCCCTGTGTCCGATGAATAATGAACTTATCAAGTTAAGTGTAGGCCTAGGCCCATAACATGTTAAGTAAACGCAGAATAAAGATACAGTTCATTTGATAAACTATATATAAATTAATTGACTTAAATATTCTAGTAGTCTTGTAAACTAAATACATACATATAATAACATAAAATAATTTTAATATCCTGACTAAACAAAAATTGATCTCCATTCATGTATCAGTTTTTTGGAATACCAGTTGACAATACTTAAATATGGCATTTGACAGTATGAAGTACTTTAACAATAGGAACACGGAAAACTGTATTCGCCGGACATAGTATTAAGGGCTCTTTATACTGTTCAATGATATATAATAGTAGTTTACATAACAAGCCAGTTACCTAGATTTTTACATGCGAGCACGTTAGTTGTATGTGCCTGCATGTAGAGATCAGGTAAAAGACATGATGTACTGCAATTTACTGCGATTTACAACCTAAAGTTAAATAAAATTTTATCATTTGACATTATCATTACAAGTTTTTGAGTGTGATTTAAAATAATGACAGTTTAGTTACAACCGGCAATTCAGTCATAACTGTTGTAAAAATTTTACCGGGCTGGCCCGTTATGACTCCCTTAACAACCATTAACAGTAGTTGGTTACCACGATGTAACATTGCAGTATATCATCATAAAAATAATTTTTCCCTTATGCCGACTTATCGAGTTTTGGCTATGAACCCTAAAAATATTATAGTTTACCCTCTTATTAAATTATTAATTTTTCTTTTTTAGTCTCATGATAAAAACGCTTGTCCGTAATTTTTTTAACTGGTTCAGATGGAAACCAAAAATTAGCAAACCTCTTCCAGTACTGCGGAAGGAAGATTGTGACGACAATGCACAAATTGATAAAACTAATCTATACCTCACAGTGAAAGTATTAAGTGCCAAAAACATTCCAAACAGAAAAAAAGAGACTTTTAACGAATATGGAAATACTGTAAATGAAGTTTGTCCTTTTGTAGAAGTTAACTACAAAAATATTTTTGCCAGAACGAATACTAGCGTTGGGATAAATCCTATGTGGAATGAAAATCTGGTGATACCTTTAGAGTAATTATAAGTTCTAATAATTAATAATAATTGAAATATAGTAGAAATATTTACGGTTTTAAATAATAGTAGGGAGCGTGAGGTAGAACGGGGTAACAACCCCTCTATAACCGCTATTACTTATAGCAATACTATACGATACTTCACTTCACTCTACTGTCTGCAAGTGCACTAACTAAAACCAAGGAAGTCAAGCAAGTTTGTAATGTGAATATACGTTTCTGTTGCAGTATTTAGTCGTTTTCAAACAACGGTAAGTACTATAGCATAAATGTTAGTACTCTGCTTGATATTGTAGTCGAAAAGACGACTTTTAATTGCTTTTTTTTTCTCAATGTTAAAATATTTCGCAACTTATTTTTAACATAATATTTACTATTGCCTTAAGATTTAATGGTTGGGGTGCAATGGACTACCCAGTTTCTACAAATGGGTAGATAAATTAATGAATATCACTGGTTTTCTTTTCAGATACCACGTATTTATAAAAGAAAATCCACGTAACAGAACTGGTTTTTCGAGAGTAAATCAAGAAATGGGATACATAAAAACTTATAAACAAATAGTTTGCCCCCAAACAACTCTAGAAAGATATAAGGCCAAGAAGAAGAGAGATGCAGCCAATTTCAAAGAAAACAAGACTTCAAGAAAGTTTTAATATGTATTTAAAGAATTGCAAAAAAAATTACGGCACATTTTTCCAATCGGTTTTTTCGTGGAAACCAAAAATTTTATCGATAGAATTTGAAGGACTCGTAATATTACTTTTGATTAAAAAATAAATAGTAAATAATCGTATTATATATTATAATTATTTCAGCAATCATTTATGCAGCTTTCAAATTTCGTTTTACAAAGAAGTTGACCGAGAAAAAGAAGAAAGAAAATCCTCAAATATAGACCTCAAGAATTTTCGAACTCTGGTTTAACCCCATAGTTTTTATCTAGCACCGGAGGAGTAATGGAAACAATCCCATTGACTAATACAAGATTAATGTTAATGTTGCACTCTGTACTAAAATTATAAATATAAGTCAGGACTAGAAAAGATTAGATCATTGTTAGCTTGCGCTCAATAAAGGTTTCTTATAAAAATTTTCGTTTTTTAAAAAGTCATTTTTGAAGTGGTCTTACTTAATTTGGAACTACTTACGGCGATTATTCCCTAAAAAGAAAATTTTTGTTTGCTGGAACACCTCTAACCTTCTTCGCCGTACCGTGATTACAACGAATGGTTTTCGTTTTGTTGAAACCAACGACTAAAAATACTAGACAAATCTATTCATTTTTAATTATGCCCATATTTATTGCAAGCATTTAGATTGTGTTTTATGTAAGACAGCTATCGCATTAGCTGCCGCATTAGAAAGAGTGAGACGTCTGCTAAACTAAGTTGAGATGTTTTGGGCTAACTTGTTTATCTGAGATTCGAGAACGCGTTTTATAAATTAATCTCGTACTACTATGATTCCTGCTTTACAATGGAGCCACATTGTAAATAAATGGTTTGCTTTTCTGTTAATCACCCTAAGCTACACTTATATGTCCAAACAAAAGGGGATATTTAATAGATAATAGATACCTTCAGCTACAATTATATGTGTAAACAAAGGGTACATTAAACAGATAATTAAAATGCAAATACTTTCCTTTTTGTAATTTATAAATTTTAGAGCCCACTTTCTCATAGTCTCTCATTTAAATTTGGCAACTAGGTGCATAACACTGTGAGTTTTTGCAGTTTCGTTTTTGTGAACAAAATTATTCTAGTAGTTGTAAGTCGTTGGTTGGACACACCTTTACTTAAATAAATTCAGTAACCCAATTTGCTGCAACAAGGCACCGGAATTACCTTCTTTAAGAAAAATATTGAATAGGTAATAATAATTATTCCTAAAGGAAACTGAATTTTTATTTTTTTTAATAAAAATTTGTTTAAATTGCACATCAACTCTATTCCATGACAAATTTTTCCTGATTATCCCATCATCTATTTTTTTTTTCTCAAAATTTTTTTACAGAATGATTTATTTGTGTTTTAGAAATAGTCATATGGATTATTTGAACCCGAATTCATTGGAAGGTGTGATAACAGTAAATTTATTTGATGAAAGTGACATTGAAATAAGCAAAATAAGCAAAAAATGTATAAACTGGCTAGGAGGAGTTGACATTTTGTTGTCTGCGGTTTGCTGTTCGGATAAGGTGAGTTTAACTCTCCTTCGTGTTTTAAATGAAAGTAAAGAGTGATTCACCAATAATGTATCTAAAGTAGGATATAACAAGAGAAATAGATATACCAGTCATATCCATGATATCTACGCTTCTACTAAATACCAAAATGACACTTAAAAATAAGACACGTGAATATTTCCAATGCCTACTATAAAAATTTTTTTTTGGAATACTTTCATACTACCAACAAGTTTAAATATAAAGATAAAAAATATAAAAGTTTAGGTTTAACAATTTGAATGATAATATTAAAATGAACTAGAAGTTTTTAAATAACTCATTAATCCAGGATTATTTATTAAAGCTGTGCAAAGCATACATTTGTTATTTTGGTTGATTGCAGTTAAAGTTTAATTGATTTAATCGTAACTTTAATGGCAAGGTTTCACACTTATTAAAGTACATTTTTCATTCCAAATATATTAATGTAAAAATGCGTTACAGAGAAAATAAGCGTGATATCCATATCTCCCAAATGGGGATCACTCTGTAAGTAACGTCACAGGCGTGACCAATAAAAAGTGAAATAGAAGCATCCGGCTTGAACCTTAACAAACATCTTTTGCTTTAAATATTTTTTTGTAACTATGAACATAAATGCGTTGCAGAGAAAATAAGCATGATATCCATATTTCCCCAATGAAAATCACTCTATAAGTGACGTCACAGGCGTGACCGATGAAAACTGAAAACAATAGCACCCGGCCTGAATCTTAAAAAACATTTTTTATGTTAAACATTTTTTGTATTTGTGAATGCGTTACAGGGAAAATTAGCATGATTCCATATCTTACTAAATAGAGTCACTCTGTGAGTGACGTTATGTACGTAACATACGAAAACTAAGCACGGGAGCATCCGACTCCACAGACTGAAAACAATTTTGATCGCCGCCTTATAAGTGTCGTTGCATACTCAAGAAAATTTAATGTGTACATAACGTTGTTAAATAAAACACAATTATTTTCAATAACACCAAGAAGAATCTGGCCCATCAGTCTAGATCATTACTCTCCACTGATTCCAGGTGAGGCAACCCCTCTTTATGTGACGGTGATTGGGAAGGTAGGTAATCAAAGGAGCAGAAAACCTGTTCCTTCATCTACCGAAACCATACATGTCGTCGTCGCCAGAAAATAGTAGGAAAAGAATATTGAAATTTAGCAAATACAAAAGTAAACAAATAATTAAAAATGGACAGTGTTTAATCAAAATGAAAGTAACGCCCTTTATTATTTGTGGGTGTTTGAAATGAAATTCATTGACAATCACATCACTAGTACCTCCAAGTGGTGACGATGTAATCCATTATAATAAATAGAAGTAGGATAAACATTTAAAAATGTGGTAAAGATATAAGTAAACCGAAAAGCATGTTGGTATAAGTCACATTCGTGATAAAATATGTCAGAAATGTCATTAATAGGGGAAACCACCACACTAAAAGAAAAAAGATCAGAGACAATTTTTGGAAAACAGTGCTGGTAGGGAAAGACAATGGTAGGTGACACCACAGAAAGGAAATAAGAGTTAGGACCCCGACAAATACGGAGCTAACTTTCCGTGACCGATCGATCATTATCACATTCAATATCGAATTAACGTTATGAAGCAAAATACGTATACATTTAAAGTGTAAAAAACTATGTCTCTTTAAAACTCCAAATGAAGATGGTCTATTAATTACGGCGTATTACTGAACTATAAAATGGCATCATGTAACATGATCATGAGACTTGGGTCCAAGTACCCAAATAAACAAGTATTAGAAATTAAAAATAAAAAAAAACCGACTTCAAAAACGTGCAGATGCCGTCATCACATCTTAACCAAATTTATATGGGACCACCCCTGAGGTATCCCCTTACTAACAAAAAAAGAATCATATAAATCGGACAAAGTGGTAAAGCATTATCGCTAAACATACATAAGTTTAAGGATTTTCTCACAGACCCAATTATTATATTCAAAAAGGAAAAACTTGTATTTCGTGCAAAACTTTTTTATTAATCAATGCAAAGCGCTTTCGGCTTATTTGCCATCATCAGTGCTCATCTACAAAAATTGTGGATGTAAACTTACAATTTAAAAAAGATTTAAAAAAAAAATTATAAAATCTGAATTAGAATTTTAAGTCAAAAGTTAAAATAGTATATATACAATTGTTTGAACAAATTAAAAATTACAAGAAACAGACAAAGTGACAAAAAACCTGGTATTGGGAATAGTGAGTGTGGGATAAGCCCTTACAAATCAAATCTGATCTCCAAAAGCAAGTTAGCTTGTGTGGAATTAAGGAATCATGCCACCCTCACTATTCACAAAATTGAAAAAGGTTAACAAATTAGTTAAAATTTACAGAAATTTACAATTAGAGGGTGACTGTGGAATATATATTGAAATTTGAATCTATAATGCAATATTTGATATAAAGAAAGTAAAACGCAGAAGGCCAAAGTAAAAAAAAACTGAAGGTTTTTTTTATATATGATTTATATACATTATAATTATGAAAAAGTCTACCTACTGTCCACAACGTATCCAACAAGTTCCTGGTCATCCTCACTCCCAAAATTATATATTTCGGAATGTTTACAACTTGCTAAATCATAATTTTATTAATATTAATATTTTCAAATTTAAATTTATCTCTTCATTTTGGTTCAAGTTGTTTAACCGTTTCCACATGACAGTGGTGACAAGCGACACTTGAAAACTTTGACTTGTCAAATGTCAACAGAAGGAGGTGCGTTCACCTCAGTGTGGAACATGTTTCTCCGAGTGTGATTCGAGTAATTGGAGGTTAACGGAGATCAAAATTTGTTATTGAATTTAAAGATTTAATTTATTGTTAGTTAAATTTAAGTAAATATTTAATATGAAAGATATTATTATTATTTTGATGTCAAGACAAAACAAAAATGTCACTCGCGTGATTCAAATGTGTCAGCCCGGGCTCTGCAGAACATTCTTTCAGAGAACCCAAGATGGCACAACAGAACCCGCGGTCCCTAAAGGTGAATCTGATGTTTAGTCCTAAAAATTAATAAATCACTCAACAAACGTACTCATGGTTAAAAGAGACAAAATAGAGAACAAAAAAGTTTTAAACAGACAAACAAACAAAATTTGTTATTGAATTTAAAGATTTAATTTATTGTTAGTTAAATTTAAATAAATGTTTAATATAAAAGATATTATTATTTTGATGTCAAGACAAAACAAAAATGTCACAACATAAAATGTCTGCTTTCTATTGCTATATTCATAGACTTCTTTCAATTCCTCTAAATAAAATTAATTATCTTCAAGAATTAAATACACTTAAACAAATTGCATTTAACAACGGGTATGACCCGGACATAATTCAATCTCTAATCACCAAAATTAAGTTCAAGAAAATTCAAAAATTAGCCTACCCCAATTTAAGTCACATTAATAATTTTTACATATCAATCCCCTTCTGGGAAAATAACTTAGCTAAGAGCATTTCAAAAATTTTTGCTAACAATGTAGATAACATCAAAGTATCTTTTAAATCAATTAATAAACTAGACTCCCATCTAGTCAACACAAAAGACAAAACGAATTTGTTAGATAAGAGTGGAGTATACAGGTTGCAATGCAGCGATTGCGATGCCAGTTATATCGGCAGTACTTGTAGATCTCTGGGAGTCCGGATAGGCGAGCACATCAAGAAGCCGGACACATCTGCATTCGCACATCACTTAAGGTTCAATCAACATAATTTCAGCCCAACAAAAAACTCCAAATTATTAGTTAACTTAAACACAAAAAATTTCAATCTATTAGATTTTCATGAAGATGTTGAAATTACTCTCGAAAGAGACAACAATATACTCTGTCTCAACACTCAAGTGAACCTTAACAGAAATTTCATACCACTCCATAGACAACTCAATTAACCCTCTATGATGATGTAGGTCCGAGTCACCCATCACAAGCCTTCGAGAGCCATCCCCTCCTAAACTCGATTTCACCCATCAGAGCCTACCTTTGGGACCATGGTACTCCTTTGTTTAAAACTTTTTTGTTCTCTATTTTGTCTCTTTTAACCATGAGTACGCTTGTTGAGTGATTTAGTAATTTTTAGGACTAAACATCAGATTCACCTTCAGGGACCGCGGGTTCAGTTGTGCCATCTTGGGTTCTCTGAAAGAATGTTCTGCAGAGCCCGGGCTGACACATCTGAATCACGCGAGTGACATTTTTGTTTTGTCTTGACATCAAAATAATAATATCTTTTATATTACACATTTATTTAAATTTAACTAACAATAAATTAAATCTTTAAATTCAATAACAAATTTTGTTTGTTTGTCTGTTTAAAACTTTTTTGTTCTCTATTTTGTCTCTTTTAACCATGAGTACGTTTGTTGAGTGATTTATTAATTTTTAGGACTAAACATCAGATTTACCTTTAGGGACCGCGGGTTCTGTTGTGCCATCTTGGGTTCTCTGAAAGAATGTTCTGCAGAGCCCGGGCTGACACATTTGAATCACGCGAGTGACATTTTTGTTTTGTCTTGACATCAAAATAATAATAATATCTTTCATATTAAACATTTACTTAAATTTAACTAACAATAAATTAAATCTTTAAATTCAATAACAAATTTTGATCTCCGTTAACCTCCAATCACTCGAATCACACTCGGAGAAACATGTTCCACACTGAGGTGAACGCACCTCCTTCTGTTGACATTTGACAAGTCAAAGTCTTCAAGTGTCGCTTGTCACCACTGTCATGTGGAAACGGTTAAACAACTTGAACCAAAATGAAGAGATAAATTTAAATTTGAAAATATTAATATTAATAAAATTATGATTTAGCAAGTTGTAAACATCCCGAAATATATAATTTTGGGAGTGAGGATGACCAGGAACTTTTTGGATACGTTGTGGACAGTAGGTAGACTTTTTCATAATTATAATGTATATAAAACATA